TCATAAGTAGTCCGGGGCTTCTTGCCCGAACGGGGTACGGACGTGGAATACACTCCGTACCCGCGCGCATCGTGAGCGCTGGAAGCCGCGCGCTTCAGGATGTCCCTTGGCAGCATGCGCTTGCTGACCAAGTTGGCAAATCGAGCACGAAGATCACGCTGGTCCAGGATGCGGGACAGGAGCTGATCTTCATGGAGTTCCCGTAACTCCGTGGGTGAGTACTTAAGAGACTCCACCTATGCCCAAAGCATGTCCTCACAGCAACTCCAGGTGGGACAGCTCTCGGGCATAACCCAGAGGTATCCCCAAAGAGGATAGAGACCACCCTGCGTCTCGGGCTTCTTACGATAACTCGTGAAGTCCTTAATGGGAATGCGCTGTGGCGCGAGAAGCACACACCGAGCAGCCTCCAAGTTGTCAACGAACAGCTGTTCCTTCTGAACAAGGGCACGTTCGTAAATGCCCCAACAGTGTGGCCACCCACAAGGCCACGAGGAGCGACTAGAAGCTCTAGGAAAAGGTCAGCCCCAGAGCTCTCTTCGAGAGGCCAATACCCTCTTGAGTTGATTGCAGCTCCCTGGCTGACGGGTCCCACCACCGAACCCCCACAAACACGCTGGGCAGCTTGGAATTTGTCCTGCTGCTGGTCGAGGTCATTCGTGACCTCTTGGGGCTCAGAGATAGCACCTTCCTCTTCCTCTTCTTCCTCCTTCCCCACCTCTTCATCCGAGGAGTTGAAGAGGCCACGATGGGAGAGCCGAGTCTCCTTCTCCTCGCGGAGTGGAGACTTAGAGGCTGTACGCTTCTTTGAGGGCTTGGCTCCTTCGGCTTTAGAGGCCTTAGCACGCGCAAGACCCTCGGCAAGCGAGAGACGTTTGCGAGGTTCCTCTTCCTCATCGCCACCAGCTTTGGGAGTGCCCTTAGTCTTGACGGCCGGACTATCAGAGCGCACAGACGTCGGAGGACTGTGATCACCTTGATCACTAGCGAGCAACTGCACGCTGTCATTCTTGTGTTCATTGGGCACTGGGCAGTGCCCTTCCGCAGAGCCCGTAGGAGCATCGTGCGTGCTCTCGGACTCGGCTTCGTCCTCACTGCCAGAGTCGAACTCATGCTCCACGAACCGAGGGTTCGGACGATTGTCTGAGGCCGAGGGCGACGGGTTGTGGCACTTGCTTGTTCGCTTGCCCACAGCCGCGTCAGCCGAGGAGCCGATCGCCTCGGAGGCCACCTGAGTAGCCTTCTTAAGTGCTGAGCCTTTGCCGTGAAGCTTAGTGCTCTTGGCTTGGGCCTTTCCGGTAGCAGCCTTGGAGCGTGTCTTCGCACCGCTCTTTGCAGTGCCACGAGGCATGGCTAACTGTCGAAGTGGAAGACCTAGAAGAAGAGCGCACTGACTGCTGCTCGAAGCTCTAACTGTGAAGTGAGCCTCCGCCGCGCTCGCGCGGCCAAGTCGATGGTTTTCGACTTTGAGAATGAAAGTTTGTGACGAACACCTCTTCATTGCTTGGTCGGTAAATCGAACCTAAGTGGGGGAGGATGTAACGGGGTACGTAGCCCTAAGTGTACCCTGGTAACATGAAGTGTGACACGTCATACTTCGGGTTCAAGCGGGTACACTACACTACATCACTTTCAGTCCACAAGCAATAAACATGCCAAGAGGGGCGAGCACGGTTGGTAAAATAACTTGCAATCCCGCTTGAGCTTCCTCCGGTTGTATTGACTTTGTAAGCGGTCCACGATAACGTATTCCAGTAATGCTTAGCTTCTACACCCCCAAGGCTATGTAATATAACTTGTGACCTAAATTAACACGCTGGATATACATCATGTTATATTAGAAATGGCTCGAAAAACGCGATTTCTCTACACACTTTAAGCCAAACGATTTCTTTACGAAAAGGTGCATGAGCTGGTTTTGAACAATTTACACGGGGGTATGCATGCTCTTTTCAAAAATAGCCTCTTGTCGAATCATAAATAGTCTGTGATGTGAGGCGCATAAAAAACCTCTCCTCCCAAGCTCCGTACCCATCAGGTCTAAGATATGGGATCAAATATTCACAATAAATGTGATAAAAGTAGAATCTGGACACGATTTTTTCAAAATTGCTGTCGACGCTCATTTGGGCCGGACTGCCATTTTTAGCACTTTGTCTTCAGCATTTTGTTTTGCTGAACTTTAAGCTGTATGTTGCTGAGCATGAAACGTTTTGCAAGCAATTCCAACCAATACGCTCTATATTAAAATAATCTCCCCCAGTAGCCAAGACCTTTTCACGTTATCACCGTGTTTGGGGAAGAAGTCACCTTGACACTTATTTCATTAAAATTTAGTGTGGCAAACAGAGGTCGGAATATGCAATACCCGGTACCCTCTATATTGCATTGGTGCAGCATTTTGCCGTATTAAAAATTTAAAATACGCCACTTATTCAGCTAGGGGGCGTATAGTAGTTTGAAACAGCTCAAACCCCGGCTTGGTTGCAGGGTAGTTTGCTGGTTAAACTTGTATTGGCCTTTCCTTTACTTTCTAAAACTGAAACATCCACAGTATTGGTATTTAACGCCTTTACAATAGCAGCTTTAAAGGTCATATAATACTAAATTTTCAGCAACTATCTTATTGCTTTCATAAAGAGTTTCTCCTCGAAATTAAATCATTCCAAAATGTATAACTTTTGCTTTTCCTTGCTTTTACATGTTAATAAACTACTGACACATTTTAATACATGAACTGAGCTGTAAAATTAAAAGTGAAGCAGCCATTGTTTTCATTGGTACATGTACATATACTGTATTTGATTAATTCATCGTTTACGGTGTTGCTTATGCTTTTTTATCGACTTCACTTCTTGGCGTCAAGATCACGCCCAGTGGGCGTGGGCGGCCCACAAAGGATACATCGTTGTTAGTAACAGCTTGTTACTGTACATGTACAGTACTTGAATTACATGTATTAAAATTCTACTGGTACTTCGAGGTACTGTACAACGCTGCAGGTAAAGCCACGGATACTGTATCCGGGATACAACACGTATCCGTGGCTGCACATTTAGTGCACCTGCCTCTCTGCTCGAAACCAAGTTTCAAGTCGAAACTGGCATGACACACACGCCACATCCCACATTATAATAGGAAAAATGACACCACGTGAGTGGATACATGAAAGTTGTGACAGAAAGTGTAAAATGATCACAGACAAGGATGGTGAACACAGCTTTCGTACCGACTCACTTACTGTCGCAACTTGGCATTCAGCAAATCCCTTGTTGGTCGGTGGGAGCCAATCCCAATTGGGAGACGATACCGGTAATCACAGAACCCCCAGTCTAGTTTATCTCAATACTGTTGTTTTCATCCCCGTAGGGTAGGCTCCTTGACGTTTAGCTCTAGCGAAGCGTCTGCTGCAGTCCATTCTGGATAAGCTTTCCACTTTTTCAGCAGCTCTATCTTCTCTCTCTCGGCCCGCTGGGTGCACGTGCGCTTGGACATCGCGCCCTTAATTCGGGATTGGCCACCGGAACCAACCGTTCGAAGCGAATCAGACTCAGATAATTCAGATTAACTCGCGCGACTTAATCTGAATCGGGGAGAAAGTCAGATTAACTTGCGCGAGTTATTCTGACTCAGGGAGAAAGTCAGGTTAACTCGAGCAATTTATACTGACTCAGGGGGTATATCACAAACACAGCCACGTCGTGTAATAGGCCTGCAGATCGCTCACTGAAAATCTATCCATTTCCTGCTCAAGTACGAGCTGGGCTAGGTGATCCGGACCTGTAGCGGTGTATTCTTGTGGCTCACTAGACACTGGTATTGCATGAAGTCATGTTATGCTGCAGAGGTCGCAGTACTCAGTATAGACACGCACGGAAAACTCGTACTGTACAGACCTCCCATGAGATAAAGCGTAGTCTTGAACAGCATGAAGAGCATGTGAAGCAGAATCAAAAGTCATTCCGACTTGAATAGTGTTTATTGCATCGCCGCTGTCCAATCCATCAGCGATGTCGTCGATATCCTCCGTCATTTTGCGTCCCTCAGTCGTAATAAGTGGTTTTGGGACTTAAGAGTTATGAGGTTTTGCGCGCTGTATACCAAGTTGCGAAGTCAGTTTAGTCAAAGAGTCCTCAAACTATCCCTATCTACGAGCTCCTGCGGCAGCAGTACCTGTCCTTCCTGCTGCTGCTTCAGTAGCCGCGTGTCACCGGCTACTCCTGGTCGCCGGCGTGTGCCGCCCGCTCACTGTCGCCGGCGTGTGCCGCCCGCTCACTGTCGCCAGTCGCGTTGCCGATATGTCTTGGAGGCACGCGAGAGCGAAACACGAGCCATCGAGGCACGCGCCTCCTCTCGGTATTCGCTGAGTCTGTTCAGGCAATGTCGTCTAATACTTAGTGTGCCATACTCCACAAGAGTGTACGATTTGGGTCTTCATACGCATGGCGAAAATTAGTATACAACAGGTTCCTGGGTTTAAGTCTGTGCCACCTTGTTTCAGCCATTCAATCATTTAAACACACAAAGTGACATTTCTTCCCTTAATTTCTCACTTACTGACGCTGGTACACCTACCGGCGATACCGACCCCACTTTGCTCACGCTGCACACCTTTAACTTTCTGTCACAACTTTAGTGTATCCACTCACATTTTGTCATTTTCCCCATTATAATACCATGCAGACGCTTATAGGCAGCGACGGCTGTACACATTTTGGCCATCCTACGCACCGAGAGATCAGATTCACCGGACTCGGTTGCACTCAGTATCACGGTGGGCGGCACAACATTAAGGGATGCGTTTCATACACGCTATCTTTTCAACGGGCACTTTCGATTTTGTCAGCTACCTCTTTCATCGTATCCATCACCCAGCATGCTTGGGCCATTCACGGTGTAGGCCAGCTGCTGGCGTCTCAAGAGGCTTCTGCCGCCTGCAGTAGCTGATCTAGCCGCTACCAGACCAACCTCAAGGGCGTCTGCGTCTGCAACGCCACTCAATGCGACATCGTCTCCAATGACTACAAGACGCTGACTGAGGGACAAGTGGGCGTGTACACGTCGTCCAAGGCCGGCGACCGCTTCGCGTACAAGGTCGTCAATGTCGACGCGACGGCTGCCAGTAACCCCACGTTCACGGTCGATGTGTCGACGCAGTACCAGACGATGGGGGGGCTTTGGGGGCTCCTTCACGGATGCAGCCGCTATTAACGTGTACAAGTTGTCGTCCACGCTACAGCAGATGGTACTGGATTAGTACTACTCGGACAAGGGGCTACAGTACTCTCTAGGACGCGTGACTATCGGCTCCACAGACTTTTCGACGAGCATCTACTCGTACAACAACAACCCGGGGGATCTCGCGCAGGCCAAGTTCTCTATCGACGTGGATCGAAAGTCGAACAAGATCGACTTGATCCAACGCGCTCTCCGCACGTCCACGCGTGATGTCAAGCTGTACGCGTCTTCGTGGGCTCCTCCTGCCTGGATGACGACAGAGAACACGACGATCAACTGCGCAGTCAAGGGCAAACCCGGTGAGGCGTACTGGAAGTCGCTGGCTCTGTACTATTCCAAGTTTTTCGACGCGTACAAGACGGAGGGCATCGAGTTCTGGGCCATGACGGTGCAGAACGAGCCCACCAAGTCCATTCTCCAGACGTCGGCGTGGCAGTCGCTGCGGATGTCTGCCGAGGTGCAACGTGACTTTGTCAAGCTGGATCTGGGTCCCACTATGGCCCAGACCCACCCTGACCTCAAGATCATTGCAGGCGATGACCAGAAGTCAGGCATCTTGGACGAACTGGCGCCGTTCCAAGACCCAGAGTCGCTCCAGTACATCAGCGGACTGGGCGTCCACTGGTACCGCAACTTGGACTTTTTCTTCTTCGGCATCGGCGGAGACTTTGACAAACTCTTGACGTTCCATAATAAATTCCCCAATGTCTTCATGCTCGCCACCGAGGCGTGCGAGGGATTCCTTTCGAGCTGGTTAGGCACCGGCTCGGGTCCGTCTCTAAAGGACGAGGACAAGAGCTGGTCTCGTGCGGAGGATTACGGCCGCGATATCATCGAGGACGTCAACAACTTTGTGGTCGGCTGGACCGACTGGAACTTGGCTCTGGATACCGCGGGAGGCCCCAACTGGGCCGAGAACTTCGTGGACGCGCCCATCCTGGTGGACGAAGAGGGCGGCGCCGAGTTCTACAAGCAGCCGATGTTCTACGTCATGGGCCACTTGTCCAAGTTCGTCCCTGCTGGCTCGCGTCGCGTCGACTTCCCCAAGTCGCTGACTGCCAGTCAGTGGCTGATGCTCACAGTATTACTCAAAGAGGGTACAGTATCATAATACCGGACGTGAAGGTTATAATAGGAGCTATGGGGTAAATTATAGTATTTCGCGATAGCTACTACTGATAACCTATTCAAATTCTGGATACTACTATCTAGATTTAAAACTTAAAAATAGTATTAGTATTTCTTAAACTTTAGTAGTAGTGAATATTAATAGTACTTCAAAGTACTTCGAAGTACAGTAAGGACACAAGTATGCTTTTCTGGGCATCGTACCATAATCACCCTGTGAGGCCTTTTCTTTTAAAAAAAATGGTGACATTATTAAAACTCATGTACTCGGATTATACTTTCCATAAGTACGTATTATATAATACTATATAATAATAGTACTTCGCTTTCTGAAGTTTTGCCTTTAAGGAACGAACTCGTCAGTAAATTGTGTAAAGCGTTGTTCATGTACATGTATTGTGCCTTTCTGTCGTTCTGCCGCATTTTATAACTAGCTCCGAAGGAAGTCTTGATCTAAAAAGGGCTTTCTAATCTGTAACGGTGTGCCGTAATATTTATCTTAATTCGAGGCTAATGTGATTGACCGAAATACATCAATGAGCGACAGGCACGCTCTGTATGTCGCACACGTGGCTCCCATTCAAGCTTTCACCGGGTCAAGATCAAACAGCGTGCGGACCAAGCTACGCCCGACCAAGACACAGCACGGCTCACAGCTACGCTTCAGCACCAACGTAGCTCAACGGTAGAGTCCTGGTTTCGGGAAGTGGAGGTTCAATTCCTCTCGATGGTATTATTTGGCGTGTTGGCGTGTTGTGTAGTTATGTCTGCGGTGGCACCGTTACAAGTTGCCGATGGATAAGAATGGTAAGGTAGTGCAAGACGGCTGCTATGGTTTAGCTCACACTCTACGGGTAAGTGCAGCGCGTTGTGTGAATAAGATAAGAGGGGCGGTAAATGCGAGGACGTTGTTGTACAGTGTACAGGCAAGGGAGTGTTTATATGCAGTTTACCAGCGGTGTGAATAAGATAAGAGGGGCGGTAAATGCGAGGACGTTGTTGTACAGTGTACAGGCAAGGGAGTGTTTATATGCAGTTTACCAGCGGAGGATAGCGATTCACAGCTACAATAATTATCAGATTCAAACACCTGAGCTGTAAATGGAGAATATTCCGCTGCCAGAGTCACTGTCCTGTCGTCTCAGCATCAAGAATGGAGAACCCTTCGCTGCGTGTCGGAACAAGGTTCCGGTGTCACCAGCATTTTTGTACAAGGTATCCGATGGGTACAGCATCCTGCGAGCAAAAGTCGAAGAACATTTCGAGAGCAAACTGCCAGGACAATGGAGACCTGAATTCGACATCTATCTGAAGCCTCAATTGGAATTAACACGTACGACGCTCTCTTTCGTCCACATTCCTGTTGACGCGCTGAGAAGGGTCCCAAGAAGCTATAGGAAACAAAACTCGTGTTTTCTATTTTCTATTGCGAACAGTAAAGTAAAAGAGAGGCAAGTCATGCGAGACCCGATCCCATGATCACACTAATATTCAGCAGTGAAGCTGAACTCTTCCAAGTCGATCCACTATCCATTTTACCACGTCGAGGTTGGAGCTCTTGTCATACTCAAGTGACCATGAATCTCTCTCTCCTGTTCACCCTTGCGAAGTGTGGAGTAAGAGCCAGGACTGCGCCCAGCTCAAACCTGAGGCTCAGGTGCCTCCAGGACGCGATGCTCGCGTCCAGAAGCCGGACTTCGACGGACCATTGGCTGGCGAGCCGCCAGCCCCATCCTACTGCTAATCCTACCAATATATGTTACCGGGGTTTTTCCGTGTGCTGCTACACACTCGACAACTTGCGCCGTCAAGAGCAAGCAGCAGCACTCGGTTTTCTCCCCTGCTGGACTTTCAGTCCCTGCAACTGACTGTTGTTACGACTACTTCCTTCATCACAATGGTCACCACTCGGCGTAGCCGAGGAGCGACCATCACTCAGGTTATGAGCCCAAGAGTACGCAGAGCTCGCGCGCGTCCGACGAGTTGCAGTTGCCTGCAAGAGCAGACGAGACAACGTCAGACGAGGCACATGCGACGTCACAAGCGTCGTCAACCCGAGTTGAGCAACAACTCGAGCTCTTATTGGCCCAATTCGGTACCGTTATGACTACACTGACAAATCAGCAGCAAGTGCAGAACATTCCAGTGGAAGCATCTACCCGACGCCCACAAAGGCAGCTCATTCAAGAATTCTCAGCGGCTCGAGCACAACCGCAGCGAGTGCCGACGCCGTACGGGCCCCGCCGAGGAAACCCAAGCACAGAGGAACGTTTTTACCGCCGGCGCCAGCACGCGTCAGAGCGAGCCGCCAAGAAACTCAAGACCGTCCGAGGCTGCAGCGCAGCCAGTCCAGACCGAGGCCGGGACCGACTCCGCTACGGACGAGCCCATGGTTGGAGACCACAGATGCACGCGGTGCATGAACCAGAGCGGACACGTGCAGTTGAACGCAAGACTTACCGATACCAACTACCAGACGTGGCGCGTCGAGATTTGCTCCATTCTCGACGTCGCACACCTCTTGGACGCCATCATGGAGCGCGAAACGATGGCAGACCAACGTAACGAAGGACAGCGCGGCTGTTTCAAGCAACGACTGCGAGTTGCTCAACGTGAACTTACGATGGGACTTAGTCAAGAGCTACAGATGCGATTTACAAGTGTTATTCAACGTGCTGATCCTATCCTACTGTGGCGAACACTGGAAGATCATTTTGATAACCATCCTGGAGTAAACAGCGTGTTTCTCAAGCGAGATATGCTGAATCGTCGCCTGCAACGTGACGAACGACTTGACGATTACATTCGTGACATCGACGACTACCAACAGAGACTTCGCCGCGCGAACAAGCAGCTGCCTGAGCAGGAAGCCGTCTCTATCCTATTGTCGAATACAGTGGGTGTGTACCCAGCGGTGGTAAACGAGCATGAAGTACGTATTGGACGTGATGAGTCCATTACGTGGGAGCAAGCGATCGAGCGCCTTCGACTCGCTGACCACTCACGCCAAGAGACTGAACTACAGCAAGGACGTGGTGGAGGTAGACGTGCCGTCCAGCGAGATGTTGCATTTGCTGGTGGCCGTGGCGACGGACACAACGACGGAAGAGGACGTCGAAACTCGAGCAGCAGCCAAGCACGAGGCAACAACAACCGCAACAATCGTCGCAGCCGCAGCTCATCGACGCGTGGGCGGAACAAGCGGCAGAAGAGCAAGAGCTCATCCAGTGCGAGGGATGACATCGCCAAGCGAAAGGCGAAGACGAAATGCAACACGTGCGGAGAGCAAGGACATTGGAGTGGCGATCCTGAGTGCCGCCAGCGTGGCAACAATAACAACAACAACTACTCGAGCAACCCGCCGCGCAGGATGATCGATGTGGTTACTGTGAAGACAGCCAAGTCGACTGCACCGACTCAAGCTGAAGGACAAGAGCATGTACTCGCGGTGCGTGACAACTTCAACTACAAGGACAAGGACAAGGACCAGGACATGGTGGAGTGGGTGTTAGATAGCGGCGCGCAGACCAACGTCTCGAGCGACCTTACCTTGTTTACGGAGCTACACGAAGACTCAGTTGCAGAGCTAGTCTTCGGCAACGGCACAACCGAGCGCGCAACTGTGGGCACAGTGCTTATGCAAGTGCTGAACGAGCACACGGTCAAGATCGAGGAGCGCCTCCTTGATGACGTGAGCTACGCCAAGTCGGCTGCCTACAACCTGATCTCGCAGACCTACATGCAATTCAAAGGAATCTTCAAGGTGCGTCTCGCATGATCAGAAGACTACGTGGCTGGTCAAGGACACATTGAAGCTGCGCTTCAAGTGCATCCGCGGGATGTACCGCATGTGGACGCCACGTCAGAGCAAAAACGTGATGAGCGTCAAGGCCAGTGAAGCGGAGAGCCCCATGACGTTGCTGCACAACCGCATAAGCCATGTAAACATGGAGACTATCAAGACTATGGCAGGAACTATAATTTTGGCATCAACATGCAGTCGAAGAATTTTGCTCTCTATGAATGCATTCCATGCTTAGAGTCAAAGACGAAGCGCATGAGCTACAAGCGCAAGCCGTCTCGCTCTGCAAAGCCCTTGCACAAGCTTTGTGTCGACCTATGCAGTGTTGGAGTGGATACAATATCAAAATCAAACCAGTTTCTATTGATTATCGACGAAGCTACGAGATACAAGTGGGGTATCTATTAGCCTACAAAGACGAAGCCACGGAGCTGATTCAGAAGCAGATTCGCTGGATCCAGAACCAGTTCCCGAAGGCGACCATCAAGATGCTGTTCTCCGATGGTGGTGGCGAGTTCGTCAACATGCAGCTCGAGACCTTCTGCAAGGACCTCGGCATCGACACGCGTTCATCCAATCCCTACAGCCCGCAGGAGAACGCTATCGTGGAGCGCACGAACCAGACCGCCATGCGGCAGGTCAGATCTATGTTACAAGCTACGCAAATGCCTGTTTCATTATGGGGAGAAGCCTTCCTACATGCAATTGAGACGCTAAACAAGACGCCGACGCCGGTGTTGAAGGACCAGCAGTCCCCGTACGAGGCCCTGTACGGAGAGCGGCCAGACCTCAGCGTGCTGCGCACGTGGGGGTGCTTGGTGCACGCGCACATCCCTGATGATTCTCGGCAGAAAAAGGAGAATCTCACTCCAAGGACGCAGATGTGCTTACTACTTGGCTACAGCGAGAAGACCAAGGGCTATAAGCTGCTGAACCTGCGCACAGGATCAGTGACGACGTGCAGAGATGGAAACATGAAGGCACATGAGAAGTACACGGTGAACACTGTGTATATTGAGCAACTTCTTGCAAACACCTACGCTTACGGAGACTACGACTTACCTGCGGAGATCCCGATCGTGCCGATACGGACGACAATGTCTACGTACCTGCAGCTTCCTGCAG